GTCGTGTCTCAGACAGTATTTGATTGGGTCGGGTGTACATTCAGTATCTAGAAATTGGTGTCGTGTCTCAGACAGTATTTGATGCGGGTGGGTGTACATTTAGTATCTACAAATTGGTGTCGTGTCTCAGACAGTATTTGATAGGGGTGCGTGTCCATTCAGTATCTACAAATTGGTGTCGTGTCTCAGACAGTATTTGATGGGGGTTTGGTGTACATTCAGTATCTACAAATTGGTGTCGTGTCTTGGACTGTATTTGATGGGGATGGGTGTACATTCAGTATCAACAAATTGGTGTCGTGTCTCAGACAGTATTTGATGCGGGTGGGTGTACATACTGTGTCTACACAATGTTGTGGTGTATCAGACAGTATTTGATGGGGGTGGGTGTACATGCAGTGTCTACACAATGATGTGGTGTCTTAGGCAGTATTGGATGGGGGTGGATGTACATGCAGTGTCTACACAATGGTGTGGTGTATCAGACAGTATTTGATGGGGGTGGGTGTACATTCAGTATCTACACATTGGTGTGGTGTCTCAGACAGTATTTGATTGGGGTGGGTGTACATTCAGTATCTACAAAATGGTGTCGTGTCTCAGACAGTATTTGATGCGGTTTGGTGTACATTCAGTATCTACAAATTGGTGTTGTGTCTTAGACAGTATTTGATGGGGATGGGTGTACATTCAGTATCAACAAATTGGTGTGGTGTCTCAGACAGTATTTGATGCGGGTGGGTGTACATACTGTGTCTACACAATGTTGTGGTGTATCAGACAGTATTTGATGGGGTTGGGTGTACATTCAGTATCTACAAATTGGTGTCGTGTCTTGGACTGTATTTGATGGGGATGGGTGTACATTCAGTATCAACAAATTGGTTTCGTGTCTCAGACAGTATTTGATGCGGGTGGGTGTACATTCAGTATCTACAAATTGGTGTCGTGTCTTGGACTGTATTTGATGGGGATGGGTGTACATTCAGTATCAACAAATTGGTGTCGTGTCTCAGACAGTATTTGATGCGGGTGGGTGTACATTCAGTATCAACAAATTGGTGTCGTGTCTCAGACAGTATTTGATGGGGGTGGGTGTACATTCAGTATCAACAAATTGGTGTCGTGTCTTAGACTGTATTTGATCGGGGTGGGTGTACATTCAGTATCAACAAATTGGTGTCGTGTCTCAGACAGTATTTGATGGGGGTGGGTGTACATTTAGTATCAACAAATTGATGTCGTGTCTCAGACAGTATTTGATGCGGGTGGGTGTACATACTGTGTCTACACAATGTTGTGGTGTATCAGACAGTATTTGATGGGGTTGGGTGTACATTCAGTATCTACAAATTGGTGTCGTGTCTTGGACTGTATTTGATGGGGATGGGTGTACATTCAGTATCTACGAACTGGTGTCGTGTCTCAGACAGTATTTGATGCGGGTGGGTGTACATTCAGTATCTACAAATTGGTGTCGTGTCTTAGACTGTATTTGATCGGGGTGGGTGTACATTCAGTATCAACAAATTGGTGTCGTGTCTCAGACAGTATTTGATGCGGGTGGGTGTACATTTAGTATCAACAAATTGGTGTGGTGTATCAGACAGTATTTGATGGGGGTGGGTGAACATGCAGTGTCTAAACAATGATGTGGTGCATCAGACAGTATTTGATGGGGGTGGGTGTACATTCAGTGTCTACACAGTGGTGTCGTGTCTCAGACAGTATTTGATCGAGGTGGGTGTACATGCAGTGTCTACACAGTGGTGTCTTGCCTCAGACAGTATTTGATCGAGGTGGGTGTACATACAGTGTCTGCACAATGGTGTGGTGTATCAGACAGTATTAGTTAGGTTGTGGGTATATGCAGTGTCTACACGATGGTGTGGTGCATCAGATATTATTTGATCGAGGTGGGTGTACATGCAGTGTCTACACAGTGGTGTCTTGCCTCAGACAGTATATGATCGAGGTGGGTGTACATACAGTGTCTGCACAATGGTGTGGTGTATCAGACAGTATTAGTTGGGTTGGGGGTATATGCAGTGTGGTGCATCAGATATTATTTGATCGAGGTGGGTGTACATGCAGTGTCTACACAGTGGTGTCTTGCCTCAGACAGTATTTGATCGAGGTGGGTGTACATACAGTGTCTGCACAATGGTGTGGTGTATCAGACAGTATTAGTTGGGTTGGGGGTATATGCAGTGTCTACACAATGGTGTGGTGCCTCAGACAGTATTTGTTGGGGGTTGGTGTACATGCAGTGTCTACACAAAGGCGGTTGCAGTTGCATATACGTAATGGTCACAGCTTCACGTTTCCAGGGTGTGGACAGTTGTATATACGTAATAGTCACAGCCTCACGTTTCCAGACCATCAGCAGTTGTATATACGTAATGGTCACAGCCTAACGTTTCCAAGGTGTGGGCAGTTGTATATACGTAATGGTCACAGCCTCCCCTTTTAATGGTGTGGGCAGTTGTATATACGTAAGGGTCACAGTCTCACGTTTCCATGGTGTGGGCAGTTGTATATACGTAATGGTCACAGCCTCACGTTTCCAAGGTGTGGGCAGTTGCATATACGTACTGGTCAGAGCCTCACGTTTTCAGGGTGTTGACAGTTGTATATACATAATGGTCACAGCCTCACGTTTCCACGTTTCGATATGGTATGGCACCACGGGCTAATACAAAAACTAAAAAAAATAGGACTAAAAGGCCAAATAATAAACTTCATCCAAGATTTCCTAAACAATCGCAAAATTATCGTGGGTATAGACCATACGCTATCGGACCAGTGTCCCCTAGAAAATGGCACTCCCCAGGGCAGCATCCTCAGCCCAACCCTCTTCAATATAATGATAAATGACCTATTCGAGGGCTTATCCCCTAAACTAAACACTTCAAAATTCGCGGATGACGGTGCCCTATGGATCCGCACAAAAAGCATTACAATGGCAGAAAACTTAATCCAAAAATCTCTAAATAAAATACAACAATGGGCAGACAAATGGGGCTTCTCCCTTAACTCAGACAAAACAACAGGAGTAGTATTCAAACATAAAAACATGAAACCTGCCTACCCAATCCTCCAGCTAAACAACCAAACAATCAAATTCCAAAAACAAACCAAATTCTTAGGACTTATTTTCGATCAACACCTCACCTGGGAGGCTCACGTCCAAAACCTAAAAACTAGATGCAGCAAAGACCTTAACACATTAAGATGTCTCACCGGCTCTAACTGGGGAGCCTCCAAAGATACCCTCCTCTCACTATATACAACACTAATTAGATCAAAACTAGACTACGGCTGCGCCATATACAACACCCTAAACAACTCTCTATCTAAAAAACTTGACTCAATACAATACCAAGCCCTTAAACTAATTACACCACCCAACATGGCACCTCCTACACCTCACTTCAGGCCCTTACAGGAGAAATGCCACTAAATCTACGCAGGGAACATCTAAGCCTTAATTTCTGGGCCGCGTCCCAAACAAACCCTCTCATCCAAAACCTATTTAACCAAAACATTAGCCCAAGAAACCAAGCTCTAGCTCGCAAACACCCCTTACTCACCCCAATATCCCAAAGAATAACTAACTACCTCAATGAACACCAAACTCAAAATCTTAAACAAAACTGCAAAAAATCAAATATCTTCACCCCTAAACTCAAAATACCCCAAATAGACACAACGCTAGCTAACCAAATAAATAAACAAACCGACCCAAACATAGCTAAAACCACCACACTTGCATACATACACGAAAATTGGCCAAATTGGTGTCACATATACACTGACGGATCTTCAGACCCGACCTCCAACCACACAGGCTTCGGAGTCCATACCACACAACCAGTTATATCCACACCATCTTACCGACTCCCTAACAACCAATCTATATTCACGGCCGAACTTATGGGCATGGCCTCAGCCCTGCATAACCAACAATCTAAAAACAACACAAAAATCCTAATTCTCACCGACTCCCTTAGTGGACTACAAGCCCCCCAAAACAAAAATACCAAAAAGCGACCTAAATTAATAAACCAAATACTTATAGCTCCAACGACCTAACAAAAGCAGGCAAACAAATAACCTTCTTGTGGATACCCGCCCACGTAGGAATTTACGGCAACGAAAGCGCCGATAAAGCAGCTAAATTATCTCTCAAAATACCAGAAATAAGCCTAAACCTACCCATCTCAAAATCAGAAATTAAAAGTGTAAACAAACAAAAAATAACCAAAAAATGGCATAATCAATATCAAAACTCAAATAGCCAAATCAAAAAAGTGCTCAGAAAACCACTAGCCAAACCTAAAATCCTACACCCCTCAAAAAAAATTGACAGATTAATTACAAAACTCCAAACAGGACACACGAACCTAAATTACCACCTAAAACAACTTAAAAGACACACCACAGGACACTGCCCCCACTGCAAACAACCCGAAACCACAGAACACGCACTCATCCACTGCACCCACTACCAAACACACAGAACCACACTACAAACCAACCTCAATCTAAATAAGGTTCCTACTCTAGATGAAATACTAAACCCTCAAAATAAACTAGAAAACTTCAAGGCCCTAAGCGTATTCCTAATCAAAACAGACCTAATTAAGCGCATCTAAAAACTAATTAATCTACCAATCCAAAATCCAATAAACATACAAACACCCACCTCACCCGGCTCCCTTAGTTCCCTCCTCCACCCACCTCGGCATTTATTCCAAATTTAAAAATTTCAAAAAAATCAATATAAGCAACCCCTAAAAACCCCCTCTTGGGTTGCACACACCACTTTCACCCTTCTCGGAATACACTAAATGGTCCGGCCAGGCCCGTGTGCGAAATACGCTGCAGTCGGAAAGCGCACGTCAAATCTTCTATATCAGTCAGTCAGTCACATTTCCACTCTTCCTCAGTCCACTCTTCATCAGCAACGCCGCCGCCCGCCTCACCACCGCACTGTTCCGAGCTCTTCCTCCCGGAGAGCTCGACCTAGCCAGGAGGCTCCTGGCTGGGAAGAAGCAGTAACTCGCCACACCAGCTCGCCACCCGACGCCGTGCCTTCCCACGCTTGACATTATGTCTGTACGTGTAAGGTTTTAGTGAAAGGTTCCTGGTACCATGAAGTGTGACAATTGTAACTGGATACATTTATTTGACAACAATTGAAAATATATCCGGTGGAGACCTATCAGCACGGCACAGATGAGTGCGAGAGGTCACACTCCCTAGCTATCTACACGCACACCGCCTCATGCTAGTGGAAGTGTTTCATGTCTTACAGGCACACATATGCATTCATCTGTAATATGTTAACTCTATAACATAGTTACGATGTCTCCGTGGTCCAGATTACATAATGCGTGTTTCTTCTCGGTTTTGGTCGCCATTGCACAAGCTGGTAAGTACAGATGTCATGTGACATTTAATATTGCAGTCTGTTTCAAATGATAAATTCCTATAGAACAAGGATATAGTTTTAGAGTGTACCAACGTTATGCTAGAATATTTAAATATGTAGCCTGGTGGCTTCTCGGCTGTTTCCTCTATGACTGGGAACGATGTGTGCCTGTAGTATTGTAGAGTGTTGATATTTGTAGGCAAGTGTTCGGAGGCCAATTTCTCTGTGATTGGGAACGATGTGTGTCTGTTGTATTGTAGAGTGTTGATATTTGTAGGCAGGTGTTCGGAGGGCAAGTTTCTCTGTGACGGGGAACGATGTGTGCCTGTAGTATTGTAGAGTGTTGATATTTGTAGGCAGGTGTTCGGAGGGCAAGTTTCTCTGTGACGGGGAACGATGTGTGCCTGTAGTATTGTAGAGTGTTGATATTTGTAGGCAGGTGTTCGGAGGGCAAGTTTCTCTGTGACGGGGAACGATGTGTGCCTGTAGTATTGTAGAGTGTTGATATTTGTAGGCAGGTGTTCGGAGGGCAAGTTTCTCTGCGACGGGGAACGATCTGTGCCTGTTGTATTGTAGAGTGTTGATATTTGTAGGCAAGTGTTCGGAGGGCAAGTTTCTCTGTGACGGGGAACGATGTGTGTCTGTAGTATTGTAGAGCGTTGATATTTGTAGGCAAGTGTTCGGAGGCCAATTTCTCTGTGACGGGGAACGATGTGTGCCTGTAGTATTGTAGAGTGTTGATATTTGTAGGCAGGTGTTCGGGGGGCACGTTTCTCTGTGACGGGGAACGATGTGTGCCTGTAGTATTGTAGAGTGTTGATATTTGTAGGCAGGTGTTCGGGGGGCACGTTTCTCTGTGACGGGGAACGATGTGTGCCTGTAGTATTGTAGAGTGTTGATATTTGTAGGCAGGTGTTGGAGGGGCACGTTTCTCTGTGACGGGGAACGATGTGTGCCTGTTGTATTGTAGAGTGTTGATATTTGTAGGCAGGTGTTGGGAGGCCAATTTCTCTGTGACGGGGAACGATGTGTGCCTGTAGTATTGTAGAGTGTTGATATTTGTAGGCAAGTGTTCGGAGGCCAATTTCTCTGTGACGGGGAACGATGTGTGCCTGTTGTATTGTAGAGTGTTGATATTTGTAGGCAGGTGTTCGGGGGGCACGTTTCTCTGTGACGGGGAACGATGTGTGCCTGTAGTATTGTAGAGTGTTGATATTTGTAGGCAGGTGTTGGGAGGCCAATTTCTCTGTGACGGGGAACGATGTGTGCCTGTAATATTGTAGAGTGTTGATATTTGTAGGCAAGTGTTCGGAGGCCAATTTCTCTGTGACGGGGAACGATGTGTGCCTGTAATATTGTAGAGTGTTGATATTTGTAGGCAGGTGTTCGGAGGGCACGTTTCTCTGTGACGGGGAACGATGTGTGCCTGTAATATTGTAGAGTGTTGATATTTGTAGGCAAGTGTTCGGAGGGCAAGTTTCTCTGTGACGGGGAACGATGTGTGTCTGTAGTATTGTAGAGCGTTGATATTTGTAGGCAAGTGTTCGGAGGCCAATTTCTCTGTGACGGGGAACGATGTGTGCCTGTAGTATTGTAGAGTGTTGATATTTGTAGGCAGGTGTTCGGAGGGCACGTTTCTCTGTGACGGGGAACGATGTGTGCCTGTAGTATTGTAGAGTGTTGATATTTGTAGGCAGGTGTTCGGGGGGCACGTTTCTCTGTGACGGGGAACGATGTGTGCCTGTAGTATTGTAGAGTGTTGATATTTGTAGGCAGGTGTTGGAGGGGCACGTTTCTCTGTGACGGGGAACGATGTGTGCCTGTTGTATTGTAGAGTGTTGATATTTGTAGGCAGGTGTTGGGAGGCCAATTTCTCTGTGACGGGGAACGATGTGTGCCTGTAGTATTGTAGAGTGTTGATATTTGTAGGCAAGTGTTCGGAGGCCAATTTCTCTGTGACGGGGAACGATGTGTGCCTGTTGTATTGTAGAGTGTTGATATTTGTAGGCAGGTGTTCGGGGGGCACGTTTCTCTGTGACGGGGAACGATGTGTGCCTGTAGTATTGTAGAGTGTTGATATTTGTAGGCAGGTGTTGGGAGGCCAATTTCTCTGTGACGGGGAACGATGTGTGCCTGTAATATTGTAGAGTGTTGATATTTGTAGGCAAGTGTTCGGAGGCCAATTTCTCTGTGACGGGGAACGATGTGTGCCTGTAATATTGTAGAGTGTTGATATTTGTAGGCAGGTGTTCGGAGGGCACGTTTCTCTGTGACGGGGAACGATGTGTGCCTGTTGTATTGTAGAGTGTTGATATTTGTAGGCAGGTGTTCGGGGGGGGGGGGGGGGGGGGGGGGGGGCACGTTTCTCTGTGACGGGGAACGATCTGTGCCTGTTGTATTGTAGAGTGTTGATATTTGTAGGCAGGTGTTCGGAGGGCAAGTTTCTCTGTGACGGGGAACGATGTGTGCCCACCAGGTGGAAATGTGATGGCACCTATGACTGTCGGGATCACTCAGATGAAGAGAGCTGCGGTACGTGCGACATAGGATATGATGTATGAATGAATAGTACTACCATATACCTCTTAACTGACACGTTGTGAGTGACTCATATAAAATCACATAGAAACACCTCTTACCAACTAATGTATCACGAGTAGCAATGCTGGGGGTATGTGAAGAATACTGATATCGGGAACTATATCTTTAGAACTCAAAACATGTGGAACACACTACTTCCGGTGTTGGAATGGTCAGTGTGTGACGAGAAAGTGGCGATGTGACGGTGAGTATGACTGCGCTGATGGAAGTGACGAGACGGAGTGCAATCCTTCCACTGTGACCGTGACTACTGCATCCACATCACTGGCCTCATCGCAGTCGCCCACAACGAAGGCGTCAGCAGTCAGCCCCACTGGTAAATATGCCACCACACTATCTCTTACATATGCATGTACTTCAGAAATCAGAAAACGACTATTTGTGAGATGCAGTGTTGTATTTATATCTGTGTCAAAGTCAATATATTGACAAAAATACAATTGGTGTGTCGAGAGTAACGAATGAATTAATACACGAATATCGGAACGTTTTCCATAAATAATAGGTTCCTTGTTCAATGGAAACAAAGCTGATTTTGAAGATGATAGAAAATAGTGTGGAGATGGTGCTGTTGAATGTTTACACCGTGTACTCCGGATGAAACAAAACATGCTTCTAACAGCAGGGTGGGAGACGCCGCGTGTTGTCATCGCAACGAACAAGAAGCTGTACAGTGTAACCATCTCGGGGGTCGCGCCTCCTGTCCAGGAGATGGGTGTTTTACCAGGCCTGATAGGTGAGCTGCAAGGCTTCGACATGAACGTCAGACGGCGTCAGCTATGCTGGACGGATTCTCAGCGGACGGATGTGATTTGGTAGGAAACCACGCTTCTTATTATCCAACACGCATAAATACACGACAACAGTTTCTATCGTATAGACATCACATCATTCATATATACATGCTCGAATGGTAAGATTCCAACTGGACATACTGTCGGAAAACAGTTACGTGTTTCATATAAAGTGCTGTAATTGTCATGTTATTGAAAATAACAACACCATATTTGGTCGTTCATCTGGTCAATGTTTTAGCATCATATCACTGGAAAACCCCATACCGAGCGACAGGCCCTAAAAGAGGATGTGATCACCATTTGCCTTGATACAGGCGAGGCAGCGGCGGTGCATTGAAGACATCAGATTATTGAAAACAGCCCGGGGGACGTTGTTCCAAATGTCAAGCAAAGATTAGCTCAACTAAGATAGCGTTACAAGGTGGTTCAGGTCCTGTCGTAGACGTCGGACTATCCCACCCCAGGCATGTTCCATGGTGGAGAGGTCTGGAGAAACAGCCGACCATAGCAGTTCATAAATGTTACAACACGTGCACCATGTGGGCGGGAATTATCCTGCTGCAACGTGATATTACGTTAGGTATCTATTCCGTTGATGCAACAATTGAATATGGTTCTCTTGTTGACACGTGGACGACCGGCCTTTGTGAAGACATGGGTCTTCCCTTGCTGTAGATAAAAGATACTATTGTGTTTCCACGAACATTAACGTGTCTGGCAACTTCGTTTTGCGCCATTCCTGTTTGCAGCATACCCACGGCGCGTAGACGTTGATTTTTAGCAAGTCGTGACATTGCGCAAGCGTTATTTACAGTTAAACAAAAGTGAATTTATGAGCACCTAATAGCTAAATACTCATCACGTGCTGTTGACATTTCAAAAACCACATGTGTGAGTATCATGCTCCGAACAAAAACGCAAACATCCAAATTGTGCGCAATGCATGAATATCATGTGCAAATTGTGGATCACGACCTTAAAAGCGAGATGCTTTCATGAATGTGTATTGAAAGATGCATAATTTAATTTTAGAATACATTTATTTTTATTGAACTTTATATGAAGCAATGTTACTTTTCCCCGTTGGTGTATATACTCAGAAAATCATAAAGGGACAGGCTAAACAGACACTATTTGTTTGCCATAATGTAATACATTATCTATAACATTACGTTTAATATCACCTGCAACATAACGTATTGTTGCATCCAATCTAACAAAGAGTGTTGTATCATATATAAGACAACGTGGTGTATATTCTGTAACATAACATGTTGTATTTTCTGTAACATAACGTGTTGTATCCCGTTGTATCTTATATAACGTAACGGTCATTCTTCTGTAACATAACGTGTTGCATCAAATATAACATAATGTGTTGTATCATATATGACATAACGTGTTGCATCCTGTATAACACCACGTGCTGTATTCCCCTACAGTGGGAGTGTTGGGGAAAACCTAACACTAGCAAGCTATAAGATGGTCGACTCCACCCTCCATGGCGCGACCTTTCCCGCAGACCTCGCCTATGACTGGATCCATGGCCACGTTTTCTGGACAGAGACCGTCAGGGGCACACTGTACATGGGGCAGCCAGAGCCACCGTTCTCTCAGAAGAAAACTCTTATCGGGCCTGGCCTAGCGGAACCCAGCCTCTTGGTGATAGAGCCAAGTTGTGGGTACGACAGACCATATGATAGGACATGTTTTACATTATATTTCCTTGGTGATGGTCCATATGATAGAGTAATCGTGTACAACATATCTACTTGGTATAGACTATAACAAGAGGCAAGCTAACACAACATATCTACTTGGTATAGACTATATCACGAGGCAAGCTAACACAACATATGTACTTGTTATAGACTATATGATGATGGAAGCTAACACAACATATCTACTTGTTATAGACTATATCATGAGGCAAGCTAACACAACATATCTACTTGTTATAGACTATATCACGAGGCAAGCTAACACAACATATCTACTTGTTATAGACTATATCATGGGGCAAGCTAACACAGCATATCTACTTGTTATAGACTATATCATGAGGCAAGCTAACACAGCATATCTACTTGTTATAGACTATATGATGAAGCTAGCTAACACATCTCAGTGGGCTAGCACTATATATCGGCATCAGTCCGGACTAGTACAAGCAGCCACACACACGTGCATGCACGTCACTATATAAGTGCAATAATCTTGGACGCGACGTTAAACCCAATTTCACCTCTCCTTATACAACATATCTACTTGTTATAGACAATATGATGAAGCAAGCTAACGCAACATATCAACTTGTTGTAGACTATATCATGAGGCAATCTAACACTACATGTCTACTTGTTGTAGACTATATCATGAGGCAAGCTAACGCAACATATTTTCTTGTTATAGACTACATCATGAGGCAAGCTAACACAACATATCTACTTGTTATAGACTATATCAAGAGGCAATCTAACACAACATATCAACTTGTTATATAGACTATATCATGAGGTAATCTAACACAACCTTTCTACTTGTCATAGACTATATCATGAGGCAATCTAATACAACATGGGCCGCCTCCGTGGTCTAGTGGTAGAGCGTCCGTCCGGAGAGCGGAAGGTCCGAGGTTCGATCCCCGGCCACGTCATACCAAAAACGTTAAAAGATGGTACTTGTTGTTACCCTGTCTGGCGCTCGGCATGAAGGTGCTAAAACAAGGACTGGTAGGGTCGGAGTCAGTATACTGTGTCTGAGTGGGGCATCAGTCCGGACTAGTACAAGCAGCCACACACACGTGCATGCACGTCGCTATACTATGGTGGCCGAGAGGGGACATCGCTTTCTCGCTCTATCGCTTTCTCGCTCTATCGCTTTCTCGCTCTCTCGCTTTATCGCTTTATCGCTTTCCCGCTCTATCGCTTTCTCGCTTTCTCGCTTTATCGCTTTCTCGCTCTATCGCTTTCTCGCGGTTAAGCAATATCCCCTCTTGACCACTATAGGGGCCGCATGTGATATCTGCTGCAATTGGGAGGTAATGTTGAACTTTTCTCACTATTTACTTAAAACATAATTTAACTGTAGAGACGCAGGTGATTTTAAAACAATCCACCGATTTTTGCGTAAAATGTAATTGATTTATTTATGGCCCTTTTCAGTTGTATGTGACCATCTCGCCGAAAGCGCGTGGTAGATCATGGCAATACGCTCTAAATAAATCAGGTTAAAATCTAAATATATACTATATATAAAAGTTAAGACTTTGGTTAATAAGTCATGGCTGATTGTTTTGCAAAAATACAATCTTATAATTTTGGATGTTCTATAACTAGTTTTCGGTAGTATATGATGTTACAGTGTGTCATAAGGTTGTCCGTAAATGTTCTTTTTGACATTTGATGTATGTTTAACTTGAATTGTGTTTCTTGTCTTGTGCAAATCTACAAATATATGTACTTGCATATAGGAATTTGATAAACACCGCTGTGAGTGAGTGAGTGGGAATGGTTTCACGTCGCTTTTAACAATAATCCAGTAATATCACGGGGAACACCAGAAATGGGCTTCACACATTGTACCCATGTGGGGAATCGAACTGGGTCTTCGGGTTGACGATCGAACGCTTTAACCACTAGGCTACCCCACTGCTCCCATCGCTGTGGCGTTACCACAGTTGATATGTGTACTTGTGTAAACTACACATATGGAGAGACATAATTAGTGTGGCCACATAGTTAAGGTTGATAACAATATGAAATGCATTACTTTGATTATCTATAACATATATTAAATCAGCTATCATTATAATATGCTATGTATATCTTAAGTATAGTTTTGTCAAAATTATGTATGTGTGTGTGTGTGTGTGTGTGTGTTTTTGTGTGTGTGTGTGTGTTTGTGTGTGTGTGTGTGTGTGTGTCCGACTCATTGTCTGTGTAAAAAGGTAGTAGATAACTACATAACTCACATCAGAACGCACAATTGTTAACCATACAGTTTAAATGGATAGAGAATTGCTACATAAATATGTATATTCCTGTCTGAGCCTATACTATAATTGGATATCTAGTCTCTCCTGGCGGGAAAGTTAAACTATATTTTACAAGCACTTTAGCATTAAATTTAATTCCCGAAGACAGTTTGATCGAAAGTCATTATAAGAAACGAGTTGTTTTTAAAAAATATTTACGACGCATTTCATTTCTGTTGTCCAAGGAATGGGGTTACGGGTTAATGATGCTCTCGAAGGTCGTATATGTGACTTAAGGTAGAGATATATATCTAAATCATCTGTATTTTGTAAGGGAAACATAACTGTGTACATGTACATCTTTTGTTTGCATAATGTGCATGCAACTTAATTAACATAATTGTGATCCCGAAATCGGACGAGCACATATTCGGCTTCAATTCCAAATCTAATGACCGAAAAAAATAATTCTTTGGACGTTGTAAATAATACAAACTGGCTAATAAAACTGACAATTATTTGTCAATATATGATCTCCTTTTTATCAGTTTTAAGATTGAGGAATGAGGGGAGGATACTATGAACAAAATGAAAATATGAACAGTGACTATCTGTATTCTGTGAATCTTGCTCATTTATTACACTACAAGAAAATATACAAGCGAAACGAGAAAAAATTACGTGTGTATTTTGTAACATATTTATCTACTACAAGATGTTTAAAAAATCTAATCCTAAGAGGCAAAATAGCGGTTAGAATTACAGGAATGGATCACTTAATGTCAGCAAAAACCGTTTTAATGTACGGCATTATGGGAAATATTGCTTTCTCGCTCTATCGCTTTCTCGCTTTATCGCTCTATCGCTTCCTCTAATGACTAACCAAAGTCATATGAAGGAATCGGGTGTTCTTTAACTTCTTTTGAATAGTATGTACTGTAAATCTTGAAAATAACGTTAGAGTTAATAATAAATGCAAACAAATTAGCGTAGACTACATTACCGCATTCGACGTAATAAGCGCCCAGGGCGCTCTCAAAATTAGAATATTATTTTGGTGTAAAAAAAGTTGAGTTGAAAGATGAATTTTGTGGTTTATGCTGACAGCCTGAAATGTTTATGCACGACAGATATATTTTTCCCGAATTTAATTGCCCATAATTAAGTGTGCATATAACGAGTGCTTATTATACGCGAATAAATAAGTCTTGTGTACATTAATCAATCGGAAGGGGTGCTGGGATTGTTCACTAGCCATTATATTAGCAAATAACGCAGTGGGCGTTTATTAGAGCGGGGCGCTTATTACGTCGAATACGGCAATTATACTTTGCATTTATGTCTCAGAAATGACTGTTGATAAGACGACCTCACTGAACACTTTGAATATCAGAAATACCAACTTGAATATAAAACCAATCAACTATCTATTTCCACATGACGGTTACTGAGAACAATATGTCATCCAAAAACTAGAAATTACATAATGAACATCAGGTAGTATTACCATTGCTTGGGTGAGGACTCCCACTTTGATGACATCTACTCCGCAAACAGAATAAGCATTGATATAAGCGTTGTTTTTAGGAAAACACTATTGCCGTTTAGGAAGTACGTACTATTCAGCGCTATTGAGCGGTGTTATTTGCTATTTGTTTCGATAACTTGGCCTGGGGGCGGGGGATCCAATAGCTAAATAGGGCCATAAATCAATCAAATTCTTTTTTACGCAGAAATACGAGGATTGTTATAAAAGCACATATGTCTGTACTGTTAAATTATATTTAAGTAGATAGTGAGAAAATTTCAACATTCTCCGCCTCTGTCTACTTCTGCTATATCTGACCGTGCCTTCTCCTTTTGCAGTCCACAGTTATGGAACTCTTTGCCTTTGAATCTGAGAAACTCTGCTTCTAAGGAAACGTTTAAGTCTCTCCTCAAAACCCACTTCTTCACTTCAGCTTTTCAATAGATCTCCTGATTGTTGGCATATGTACATAGACATTACATTTTAACTTTGTCACAGCGCCAGTGAGCAACTGTCGATGGACATTAGGCGCTTTACAAATCAATTATTATTATTATTATTATTATTATTATTATTATTTGAAATGCGACTTGGAAAAATCTCAGCTCCCCCCCCCCCCCCCCCCCATCAGCCCCGCTGACCCCCCCCCCCCCCCCCCCCCCCATCAGCCCCGCGATAAAGCGAGAAAGCGATAGAACGAGAAAGCGATAAAGCGAGAAAGCGATAGAGCGAGAAAGCGAGAAAGCGATGTCCCCTCTCGGCCACCATACTATATAAGTGCAATAATCTTGGACGCGACGTTAAACCCAATTTCACCTCACCTAATACAACATGTCTATAGACTATATCATGAGGCAAGGTAACACAACATATCTACTTTGTATAGACTATATGTTACGGTAACCTAACAAGATATCTATTTGTTATAGACTATACGATAGGGCAAACTAAGATAACATGTCTACTTACATGCGCTGACTGACCATACCATAAACCCTGCAGGTGGCTGTACGTGACTGAGTTTGGCGTGAGGATACAGCGGTATCATCGAGACGGGAGTGACGGACAGGTGGTGGTGAAGGGAAATACTACCAGTATAACGGGTCTGGCGATAGGTACAACAGTTGGGAAGGTTCCATTAATGAGATAAAACCAATTACTGTTCGGGTACACTAATTATTCCAAACGAAAGTACTGTAGTGTTAATGGTCTATATCTCTAGACTGATCTAGTGTATATAATTGAACCCGATATATAAGATACAATTGTCGGTGAAAGGTAGATGCTACTTGTGCTGTGGTACTTTAACCACTCTCTAGCACTCAATCCCGAATACTTCGTTATATTCCATACACTCTGATTCTTATTTTTGTAGACCAGATTACAAAACGCCTCTACTGGCTGGACACTGGCAGGAGAACTGTATCCAGCTGTCTTCTTGACGGCGGAGGCCGCAGAAAAGAACACAGGCTCCAGACGAGGTATGACACGGTGGGTCTGGCCGTGCATACACACAACAACAGGGTAAGGAACGACTCTTGTTCCTATCACTCTTTAGGAGTCAACACCTGGACGTCGTTCCACTCACGACTATGTATATAGTAGGTTGAGGTGAACAGAATTGTGTGTCTATTTCAGATAGCGACTATTCCACATACAATAAGCATACTAAAATTAGCTAGTTCCTTTGATACACATTATCTATGTGATTGAGATCATTTTACACGCAGATATGTTTCCGTGACAAACAGATATGTACGTATCCCAAGTTCCATTAAACTAGTCATAAAAGGAAATGGTATTATTCACCACCTACACTGTTAAAAATGTGTTTAGAATGTTTTGATTATAAAGCCTGACCAACCAATCCCGTTAGTCGCCTCTTACGGTAATGTAAAATGTAAAAAGTAGTTATCGATAGGCACCATCGGTAGTGTCCGATATTGCTGTATTATTGTCTGATATTGTTGTTTTTTTGTTTGTTGTTGTTGGTTTGTTGATTGACGTTGTTGTTGTGTTTATTTAGACAAGTATTTACTGGGGTGAAGCTACATCAGGAAAAGTGAAGCGTGTTGACCTTGACCTTGGACCCCGGCAGGAGCAATTGCTATCTCAGCATGAAGGTGGCATCCGGGGCATCAAGATCTTTGGGCACAGTTCACAACCACCAAGTAGGTTCTAGTAAGACTGGTTAGTAAAGTGCATCAACTGTCACTGGCGGGAATATCACAACAAGCATATTATCATGTACAATTAACTGTATCACGTTTAGTAGTAGTATAGGTAATGATGGTTCTGGCTCACTTCCACTGGAGCAGGATTCATATACCTATACCACCACTACAGAGGGAATTTTTTATGCGTAAATGATGATGCGATTCAACGATAGTCATGAGATTCAGCTAAATTGACTCTAGCTCACCACCACCTGGAGCCAATGATATAAATTTTTATAGGTAATGATGGTTCTGGCTCACTTCCACTGGAGCAGGATTCATATACCTATACTGCTACTACAGGGGGGATTTTTTATGCCAAAATGATTATGCGATTCAACGATAGTCATGAGATAAAGTTAAATTGGCTCCAGCTCACCACCACCTGGAGTCTATGATATAAATTTTTATAGGTAATGATGGTTCTGGCTCACTTCCACTATACTACTCGTTTTGTCAGTATCAACTAGACCCGTGAAGATCCGGATAGAGGATAGGTCTTCGCTGACTTGGTTGATCATCATATCCCAATTGCGTGGATCGATGCTCATGTTGTCAACCATTGAATTGTCTAGTCCAGATTCGATTATTTACAGACCGCCGTCATGGAGTTGGAAAATTGCTGATTGCGGCGTTAAACAACAAACATACAAAACAGTACTGGGTATTTAAATGACATCTCTCCTCGTGTCTTCCCCAGCATAAACTAGAAACAAATAACACTTTTCACAAATGCGCGAAATTACGAACTTCCATTTCAGGCACTAATCGGTGTGAAGGGTCCCCCTGTTCCCATTTCTGTCTGCCAGTCGACCAGCCCGGGGAAGCCCGTGACTACCGGTGCGAGTGCCCGGATGCGTTCAGCCTGAACCCTGACGGGCATAGCTGCAGTTCCGACGCCAACGGACAGAAACGAAAAAGTAAAGTATATGCACATATACACCAGTCGTGAACATGTTTAATATTTTATTACGCTACACAGTACACGTCAAGTGCCCTGTAGAGAAAGGATGTTTAGTGATGGCAAGATTGCTTGATAAAACAGTTATATGTTATACATTTATATTGCTTGAACTTTTGCCAAACACATTTCATCGTATTCAGTAGATCAGTTTCAAAACCTTTGTTATGTAGGTAGGACCTAGTAGATATTTTAATGTTTACAGTCGGAACAACATGTATTCACCTTCAATACATCGTGTACAATAGGAACGCATTTGTAAAGATGGCGATAAAAGAAGTCCTAGATCCGTGTAATTCATGAATTGCTCTTGTTATCACCAATCAATTCTGATTTCTTCTTCAGTATTATATTTTCTGGTTTTTGAATCTCTTTGATTTGTTTGTTTGTTGTTTAACGTCGCACTCAGCAATATTCCAGCTATATGACGGTGGTCTGTAAATATTCGAGTCTGGACCAGACAATCCAGTGATTGACATCATGAACATTGATCTACGCAATTAGGATACGATGACATGCATCAACCAAGTCAGCAAGCCCTACCACCCGGTCCCATTAGTCGCCTCTTACGACAAGCAAAGTCGCCTTTCACGGCAAGCATGGGTTGCTGAAGACCTATTCTACCCCGGATCGCAAAGGATCGGAATCTGTTAAAGTGAGAAGTGATATACATATTGGTATCTGGGAATCACAACATTCCCAGGTTGGAGTGTTATTAAATGTCGTCTGTCCCTGCCCTTTGTATCGTAAACAATGCGTCACTGACGATTTAACTATTAATATGGATCAACTGTGGAGTATTAGTCTCGCCAACATGTGGCAAGGTATTTGCTCCCTGGTATAGCGGCGGTTGTTCTCTCATACCTGACCTGTGTTCACTTACTCCAATAACTCTGTCGGGATCGAGTTTAATCTGCCCTCGGGTTGTGATAGTATATTCAGTGGCATTTAGAAGTTGGTGTGATGAAGAAAGACAAGTTCTATGGATGAACAACTTCTTTATTACAATTAGTGCGACGTTTCGGTGTAGATCCTAACACCTTTATCAAGCAAGTAATGGATAGTGCTTACTTACTTATATTGTAGATTTAACGTGCACTTTCCGACTGCAAGCGTATGTCGCTCACGGGCCCGGCCAGGCCATTTAATGCGTTTCCGAAAAGGGGAAAAGTGAGTTTGTGCAACCCAGGAGGGGGGCTTTAGGGGTTGCTTATATAGTAATTTTGAAATTTTGAGATTTGGAATGAATGCCAAGAGTGGGTGGAGGACGAACTAAGGGAGCCGTGTGTGTTGGGTGGTTGTTAGATTAGGTAGTTTTGGTTTTAATATTTTATTTGGGTTTAAATGCGACTAATTAGTCCTGTTTTAATTAGGTATATGCCTAAGGCTTTGGATTTTTCTAATTTATTTTGTGGATTTAGGATTGATTCTAGTGTAAGTGCGGTTTTAAGATTTAGGGTGGTCTGTAGTGTTGTTCGGTGTGTTTGGTAGTGTGTGCAGTGAATGAGAACGTGTTCTGGTATTTCTTGTTGTTTGCAATGTGGCCAGTTTCCTGTTGTGTGTAGATTAGCTATTTTACGGTGATTATTTAGTGGATGGGTGTAGTATTTTTGGTTTAGTTGGTTTTTTTTTGGTACTTCCCGATTTGGCTATTTGAGTTTTGGTATATATTTTGCCATATTTGTTGATTTTTTGTTTAGTGACACTTTTGATTTCTGATTTTGAGCTGGGTAAGTTTTTTCTGGGAGTTTAAGGGATAATTTTGCTGCTTTAACTGCGTTTTCATTTCCAAAGATTCCTACGTGGGCGGGGATCCAAATGAACTCTATTTGTGTACATGCCATAGATAAGTTGTTTGAGCTTTTGAGTATTTGATTTATTAGTTTGGGGCGGTTTTTAATGTTTTTATTTTTGAGGGCTTGTAGTCCACTGAGGGAGTCGGTTAGGTTGAGGATTTTTGGTGTTTTTTAGATTGCTGATTGTGTAGTGCTGAGGACTGGTTGTGCGATGTGGACTCCGAAACCTGTGTGTTTTGAGATCGGATCTGAGGATCCGTCAGTGTATATGTGACACCAATTTGGCCAATTTATGTGTATGTATGCTAGTGTGGTGGTTTTAGCGATGTTAGGATCGGTCTGTTTATTAAGTGTATCGGCTAATGTTGTGTCTATTTTTGGTATTTTAAGTTTTGGAGTGAAGATATTGGATGATTTATTGTTTTGTTTAAGATTATTTATTTTGTGTTCATTTAGGTAATTGGTTCATCTTTGGGAAATTGGAGTAAGTAGTGGATTTTTCCGGGCCAGGGCTTGGTTTCTAGGGCTAATATTGTTTTTTATTAAGTTTTCGATTAGAGGGTTTGATTAGGACGCGGCCCAGAAGTTTAGGGTAAGTTGTTCCCTACGTAGTTTAAGTGGCATTTCTCCTGTGAAGGCCTGGAGTGAGGTGGAGGAGGTGCCATGTTGAGTTCGTGTGATTAGTTTTAGGGCCTGATACTGGATTGAGTCTAGTTTTTTAATTAGAGAGTTGTTAAGGGTGTCGTAAATGGCAATGCCATAGTCTAGTTTGGATCTAATTAGTGATATATAGAGTGAGAGGAGGGTGTTTTAAGAGGCCCCCCAGTTGGAGCTGATTAGGCATCTTAACGTGTTTAGGTCTGTGCTGCATCTGGTTACTAGGTTTTTAATGTGAGCATCCCAGGTGAGATGTACTCGAAGATTAATCCTAAGAATTTGGTTTGTTTTTGAAATTTGATTGGTTTGTTGTTTCGTTGGAGGTTTAGGGGGGCGGGTTGCATATTGTGGTGTTTAAATACTATTCCTGTGGGTTTTTTTCTGAGTTTAGGGAGAAGCCCCATTTGTCAGCCCATTTTTGTATTATATTTAGAGATTTTGTAGTAAGTTTTGGGCCATTTTAATGCTTTTAGTGCGGATGCAGAGGGCTCCATCATCCGCGAAGTTTGATGTGTTTACTTTTTGGGATAGCCCCTCGAATAGATCGTTAATCATAAAATTGAAGAGCGTGGGGCTTAGGATGCTGCCCTGGGGAGTGCTATTTTCTAGGGGACATTGGTCCGATAGCGTTTGGGCTATCCCCACGGTGATTTTGCGGTTTGTTAGGAAACTTTGGATGTGGTTAATTATTTGACCTTTAAGACCTATTTTTGTAGTTTTTGTATAAGCCCGTTATGCCAAACCATTTCGAATGCTTTATTCTGTTCACTCATTGTAAAAACCGCACTGCAGATATTATTTATAACTATACCGCACTTAGCGCATCTATCTCGCACAAACAACTGGGCGTTACTCTCTCTCATGATATGAAGTGGACAACTCATGTTGATAACATTTGCCGCTCAGCTTCCAAAATGATTTGTTCGTTAAGAACCGTTAAATATTTGCTTGACAGACAAACCCTGTCCAAAGTCTATCTTGTTTTCATACGGCCTATATTAGAATATGCTTCAGAGGTATGGGATAACTGCAGTCAAGAAATTCCGAAAAACTTGAAATGATTCAACTCGAAGCCGCTCGCATAGTAACAGGTCTCCCTGAATTCTCCTCAAGATCGAGTTTATATTTTGAGACAGGATGGGATTCACTATTTTAGAGAAGGAAAAAATAAAAAACTTTGTACAATCTACACTATTGTTAATAACCTATGTCCATCGTATTTACAGGACACGTTACCACCCAAAGTATCAACTATTAGTAGATATGAGTTACGAAATCAGAACAATCTAAATTTGCCGCATGCACGAACAGTTACATACCAACAATCATTTATACCTTCTTCCATCAAATTATGGAATAAGTTACCCCCGAATACAGAAGCGCAACATCATTATCAAATTTTAAACATATGATTAAAACAACCATTGCAACTCCACCTCCATACTTCTCAATCGGCAACCGAAGAGCTAATATTTTACATACACGCCTAAGGCATTCTTGCAGTTCCCTAAATGCAGACCTCTTTAAAGTAAATTTATCTGATACTTTGTCCTGCTCTTGTGGAAACCCATGTGAAAACAACATACACTTTTTTCTTGAATGTCCCAATTACACTATTCACAGAAATATCACGTTCGCTAACATTATAAAAGCTTGAACTACATGTACAATACAAAATATTCTCTAAGGTGATGTATCCCTAGCTGAAAGTCACAATAACCTCATCTTCAACAGCGTTCAAAAATATATACTGTCGACTAATAGATTCGAGTAACCCTTTTATACAAGGGTATATGTATATGTATGTACATGTAGTGTGTGTATGTGTGCATATATGTACATGTATATAACTGTTTGTATGATTGAGTAATTATATATGTAGTCTTGCATGTATTTTGGATTAATGTGTATATACAAGTAAATTGTGTTTATAGGCAATTCTTATGTATGTCTATGTTATTATTGCAAACATTATGTTTATGTTCTTGTGTATATATATTTCTCTTTGTTACTATAAATGTAATATGTGCATATGTATATGAGTATGTGTATGTATGTATGAGTATGTATGATTGTGTGTATATATGATTATGTGTATATGTATGTATAACTGTATACGTATGTATGTGTATGTGTGTATGTATATGTATATATATATATATGTATAATCAATGTCTGTACATATAGAGTAGGGAAAGGGCCACCTAAGTTGGATAACTTTTGCCCAATCCCGTTGACCATATATGTCAATAAAATATGTTTAAAACAAACAATGCGTTGGAGAAGTCAAGAAAGATACCTGTGGTGTATTGTTTGTTAAGTTGGCCTGTTTTAATGTCCTGCTCTAGTCGGGCGAGGTTATCTAAGGTTGAGCCTCCAGGAGTGAAACCGGTTTGGTCTGGATTTATTATGTTGTTTTGTTCTAAGTGGTGTTGTAGCCTGTTTTTTTTGCCATTGATTCCATTACTTTGCATAAGTTAGAAGTTAGGGAGATTGGTCTGTATGA